CAAACGCCAAAAGTTGCTCAAAAGTTGCCGAGCACAATCGGGATAGGCCTAGTACCCGTACAGGTTTTGGGACTTGTTTGAAAAGTTCATTCAGAAAGAAAACGAAGAGGAGAGACGCAGTTGAGACAGGTGGATATAAAATTCGAACTGAGTTTTATATAGTGGCTGTCATATCCATTTTATTTTCAGTTATGTTTTCGAAAAATGTATGTAAAAAAAATACTTGAATATGTTACTTACCAAAAGGCACAGTTTTTGGCGCCTCTTTTGACGCTTAAACTTACGTTTTATGTATCATTTTATGTACCATTTGTATGTACCATTTGCATCTACCATTCTTATATACCATTTTTAATGTACCATTTTTCAAATTGGAGGAATCCAGCGAGGCCACGCTCTAAAATAAACCCTGTATTTAGGATTTCAAAACTTTCTTCTTCCTATAATTAGTTTTTAGTTTTTTCCTATAATAGGTGGACTGTGCAGGAAGCGGTAAAAGCCTCTGCAGTAAATTGGACATTAAGTTTCTGCCTACGGTCAGACTGTTCAGAGATGGTAAACCACTTGGAGATTACTCAGGAGAGAGAAGTGCAGGTAATGTGCGAGAAGATTCTTTATTAAAGAAAACTTTTCAATTTACTGTCGACGATCAAGAAATCAAGCTTGAAATCTTCGGAAAATGGCAAAAGTTGAACTTCCCGTTGGTTTTTTTCAGTCGTTTTGGCATGAACAGAGAAAAGAAGTTTGTTTGGGGATTTTTTTAAAGAGCTCATTTAAAGATTATTAGAAGAAGAAAAGAAAATGATCAGATCTAATTGTTCATCTATTGTTAAGACCTTAAACTAACCAATCATATGGGATTCTGTTGCAAGGGGTTTACTTCACTGAGCGCTTTGACTTGTCCAGAAAACTAGCGCTACCCTCGGCTCATCCAATCAGATGCGAAACTGAAGCCATTCATGACTCAATCGCTCACGATCGTGTTTTGACCCTACTTTGAAAAAAATCTGCTTTTCTCACCCTCTGGAAATATCTTTTCGGGTGATTCACAAATAGTTTACTGATCAGTGATACCAAGAATAGGAAATATTGCATCTAATCTGAAAAAAAAATCCTCAGAAGCTAAGAAACTGCGCTTTTTGTCAATAAGGCTAAACGAGGCACGAGTTAAGTCACAGTTTTGTGCATCTTACAAAAATATAACCCAAATCTTTTTAGTTTTTCTTTTGAAATTAGTGTTCAGCCTGTCTATTTTAAGCCACTAGTGTTTCCCTATAGATTTTCAACGAATCAATTTTAAGATGAAAATCAAACATGATTTGATCAGTCTTACTATCCTGCGCTTAAGACAGCTTGCTTGTTATTACTATGAACTCTCTTTGGGTCCTCGTAGCGTCTTCTTTAATCTGATTGACGAAATGAGTATTTTAGTTTTTATTTTACGACACTTAAAAGACGAGAGCTCTGAAAGACCGTATTTGGTGTGTTTCTTTCAGATGCCGTCCTAGAGTTTCTGCAGAAAGCAATAAAAGCACCAAATGACATGAAATTGACGATGTCTGATGACGTCAGCGGGACACCACCTGACGTCACACCTTGGCACGCGGATGACAAGAAAAGCCATTGAAAATAAACAACAATATATTCTTATTTATTTACAATCTTGAGCGGAGCTTAAGTGAAAAGTGCTGAAATCATTTAAAAGCGAGTGGCAACTCGCATGCAAAGTAAAGAGATACTGGCTTCGAGCGTGGAAGAGAGAAGCTAGCTTTCTCTTTGAGCATAAAGTCGGCGTGGCGAGCGGGCACTGTAAAGAAGAGACACGATCGCGAGAACACTGCCATTGCACTAACCTTGAAATTAAAATTACAGTTATCGTCTTTCTTTTATATCTTTCCTTTATTTTGTTAGGGTATAACCAATAAGGAATAGCCCATTGCATATCATCTTTTTTGTCTTTTCTGTGCGTGTGGAGATAATATTTTCTCCTGAGTGAAATGACAACCCCACATCCTATGGAAATCCTAGTAAACACTATCCCTCCCTCCCCATCCAAGGAATCCCTATCTTCTCGGGAACTTTGATTGCCCAACGTGGGGTCGACCTTATAAAGTAACGCTCCCTGGGTACGAGGTGAACAGTAGGACCACCATCCGTATTCCATCCATGTTGAATGTGAGGGAAGTGGACGCCTTTTGCTTACGTAAGATTCTGGAGAATTTTAGGAACTTTTCTTCGAAAAAAAATATTTCTCTGTTTCAGTGATGTTTTCTGTTCTTTTTGGTGCCAAGAAATAAAATGAAGAGGTTTAAGTGAAAGCAAAATTCCTTCCAAAGTTGGGCGATTTATGGGTTATCACATTTTCTTAATTTTCACAGATCCTTCATACATTCATGGCTTAAAGGGAACTTTTTTCCATCGGATAATTTTGAAATATCTAATATTAATTTTTTGACTGGTGTTGTACTTTACAGTTAATCAAGGCAAAAAGTCAATTTTCATCAGAAATTGAAAAACAAAATTTCAAATGACATCATATTCATTTGGTTAGTTATGCCCTTAGTTCTTAGATGCCTATGATTAAATGACATCATAGGCAGTCTTTATCACTAACAATGTTCCTCATGAAATATCATAAACGGAGGAAAGGTTTAAAGACATCTTTTCAAACATCCATAACTGAAAAAATTAAAATTGAGAAATGGGCATACAACTCGATCAGTAAATGTGAGTTTTTGCACGTACTGTGGACCTAGCCTATTAACTTTGCCATATGCGGAGACTGGACACTAGGGATCGTATTGAGTGCCAAAATGGCGACCTCCTTAGTGAAAGAGGTGGCAAAGCAAGAGCTACCTCCAAAAGGTGGTTATCCTGCCATTGTGTATGCCAGGAATATACCAACCAGAGGCCCTTCTGGTATAGCATTGTTCCTTGGCGGAGCAGCCGTGATGGCGTACGGATTTTATCGTGTTATTATGGGGAACCGAAAACGATGGTAGGTATAACATCCAGAATGCAGATTGCAAGGCTACGCGTTATTGTATTGATTGGTTATTTGTGCCTTTGCCTAGTATTTTATGAGAATTTAATAACTATTTTATATTTTTTTAGTTATAAATGTGACAATTATCGACAGGAAGCATTTCATTCATTCAATTTTGCCCTAACATTCGATGTAATTAAATTATTTTCAGTGAACTGAGGAAAGAGCAAATGGAAGCAAGGATTGGATTTCTCCCACTTTTACAAGCAGAACACGACAGAAAGTATGTGCCACCGAAAAAGCTCCCTATGGCCCTCAAGTTAACTTTATTTATGGCAACAAACTAATCCTTTCAGAGAAAATATTTCAAATTCATTACCCGAGGTTTCAGCTGTTGTTAAGTGTTGCTAAAATTAGAATTAGATTATTGGGTTGTGAAGGAATGAACATCCTCATAAACAATTGATTTAACAACATTGAATTATTATTGGCATAGCTACTTTTTGAGAGTCATTAGCAATGAGTTAAGAATTATTTTCAGTTGAGGTTTGTATGCAATATTAGGCACGGCATTGATTGCCTCAACATTCTCTGTCAGCTGACCAGTTATTTCATACCCACAGTTATTTCATACCCAGTTGATTTGAGCTCAGCAAGGACCATTGATACCCAGCCAGTTTAGTCATTTTGCACTCATACTGCAAAAGTATTTTCTCTTTGTCTAGTAGGTGTAAATTAAGCCGGGTTTATTACCTTAATAGCATTGTAATTTGCTGTTATATGTGACCATGGAAAATGCATGGTTTGCTGGTGTTGTCATTGTGAGGGTCACAAATAACAGGACACAAACAACAGTGGGCTTAACTTTTACATGTATCTTACTTGCTTGACTCTTAAATTACCTCTCTTACCATCAATCAACATTTGCTCTAGTGCTTTTTCATGATGTATTTGGTGAGATCTCCTGGGTTTTGATTTTCACTGGATGTTTTGGATAGATTGGAATATTGACCAATGGGCCGGATACAAACTGACACAAACTGAGTATGAATGGTCTAAATTTGGGTATGAATCAACAGAGTATGAAACTTCACTGGAAACGAAATGACTTGATACCCTCTGTAAATGGTCTAGATACATGTGCCTCTCTCTCAATCACGCAGATGCAAGACTAACCATCGGTTACAACTTTTTTTTAAACCTTCCTATGCTTCATTGCATTGAAATGTGCATCTTGGAGATCAATTCGGCTCATTGTAGCGTATTTAACCTTTACTTTGGTTTTTTCAACACACAATAGCAGTGTGCTTTATCTCCCTCTTCACAGTTGTCTACGGCTATTGAAAGAAAATGAAGAGCTTGAGGCACAGATCATGAAAGATGTTCCTGACTGGAAAGTTGGTGAGAGTGTGTACCACACAGAAAAATGGGTCACACCTATGCCCATTCAAGTTGAAAAGCTGTAACATAGGTTTCTTTCATTTGGATGTACTTATATGTAAGTTTCTTGGTGTGGACACAAACTTTGGCACACATGTATTTTTTTATAGATGAATCTGTGGCATGTTGTCAATTACTATTTTCAGTTCAGGTTTTCAGAGAGACTCAAGTCCATCAATTTTCTGTTCAGTTTTTTTGTTGGGAGTTGAAAGAGTGTCTTGGGGTAAAGAACTTAAACTAGTCTTAACATGCCTTGTGAAAATTCTCAGACTATCTGTTGCAGTTAAATGTAATTTATCTCTGACAATAAACTTTAAAAGTGAGTGAAGGTATGGCTTTCTTTATAATTGCTCTGAAATTTGCCAGATCAGAAATAAACATTATTCATAACCACAATGTTTTGTTTTGTACATGATTGTGAAAATTGTTTCTAGAGGACCGTGGCCTGGAGTCAATCTGTTACTCTTATACTTGACTTAATGGAAACTTTGGAAGTACCTGATATCATTCTCATTCAAAGAGACTTAGGTCCTGACATTGTGCTGAGTAAACTGTTCATTAGGCCAATGCTTAATCTATCATGTTTATTCCAATTAGAAGTATGTGAAAATATCACAAAGTTTCTAAGACATTGTGGTATGGACACACTTTTGCTTTATGATGGTGTCTGCTTATGATAGCTTCTTCAGATACCTCAAGTGGGTTGAACTTCCTTCATTACAACCAACAGTCACTCTCCAAATTTCATTTCAGTTTGGACACAGTGGACATAGAGTCACCTCAAATTGGACACGAGTGAAAACAATTTTATTTAGTCACAAAAACAACTGAGTTTGTAAGGTTACTTAATATTTAAAAAAAAAGGAGGAGATATTTACACAATAAAAATACAGAGACTCATTGCTCTAGTCACAACTTTTATAAGTTTCCTATAGTTAGACATAAGTATTTAATGTTCCTAGTGGGATGGAACTGCGCTGCAAACTTCCAGAATTGACACTTCTTCTTGAAGTCTTCTTTGGTGTGTAGGTTCTTTGGTGAGTTGTACTGAACTCTCTCTCCTCTGGAATTGGAGGTCTTATATGAGACTTCTTAAGCTGTAGACAAAGGAGGAATATGAAGATGAATTAAAAGTTCAGGTCCTAACACATCAGCTTCCTCATATCCATTACTTTTTTAGAAGCAGGGATGGCACAGTGGTAAGGGCCCTCTCCTCTCACTGCCATGGCCCAGATTTGATTCCTAGACCTGGTTTCTCATGTGTGTTGAGTTTGTTTTTGGTTCTCTGCCCTTGCTCGTGGGTATTGTGCTGGTTACTCTACTCCAGTTTTCCACCCTCCACTAAAACCAACATTTCAAATTCCAGTATGACCTGGAAACAGTGTGCAAGAAGAGCCTCCTTGTGGAATGCCCATTGCTAAATTTCCATTATTACTTTTTTGTGAATTAAGATTCTTGTACTTACATTGTCAACTGCCAGGGGGTTTGGGATAAGTTTAGGGACTCCAGCACGAGATGGGAAATCACTCCAGCTTGTTGGCATGGTAACAGGTGCACCTTCTAAGAAAGGGAAACACAATAGAATAGAATTAAAACTGCTACTTGCAGTGTTAGCTGTTTGCTGCTAAATATATTTAGGACATGCAAAAATTGAAAGTATGTGGGCTTGCAAATTACCTTTTAATTGGGAGCCTTTTAGCTTCTATTAAATAATTCCCAATAACAATGTCTTGAGAAATTTGGACAGTGTTACACACTAGACAAATGTCTATTCATTGGGGCCTAGTCTTCAATGCTGGATTACACTATTCGGAGACTAAACTGCCACCCAGAAGTTATTTGTCTACATAACTTATGGCACTGGTGCAATAGTTGGTAGGCCACTGTCTCTGCTGTGTTAACAGGCTCAAAGAAGTGATCAACATGTAGCTTCTCACTATAATATTATACATTATTTGTTTCCATATATTATACACCAAACAGGTAATGGGAGTACTCAAAGTTATCAAGTAAAAGTTGTTATCTTGATCTAACACCAAATTCTTGTAACTAACTAACAACAAAATGTCAATCAGCTAGAAGGGAGAATTAAAAATAAAATCTTGCAAGACAAAGGGTTAAGGCTGTGGCTGCTTATAAGTTGTGTTAATCTCACAGTATTCAACAGCCTATCACAATATTTTATTAATTGGTCACATCCCTGAAGACAAACACTTACTGTAATAGTCAAGAGGAATGCTGCTACTTGTGGTCATTCCTGGATCAGCTTTCTTGTATGGAGCTGATACTGCAGTGAAGTCAGATTTCATTGAAGTTTCATAGAACTGTGCTCCTCTGGCAGCACCCAGATCCACATGAGATTCAGTTCTTAGATGAGAACCATCAACTATTTTATTTCTGAATCCAATGGCAGGTTTTCCATAGAAGATGTCATTGGTAGTTACACTGACTCGCTCATGGGCTCGTAGAGGATCTCTGTCTCCCTCAGGGAAGCTGCTTTTTCCCATGTCAAGGTTGGCAGACATGTTCCTGTCTGTAGCAAGTTGGATCACAAAGATTACTTAATAAACTTGTGAAATACCAACTTGCATCATGGCTATTTCGTATTATTACTAATAACATTTTGTTAAGGGCAGAAGTTAGTGGGTGTTATGTCTTATCCTTTCTGCAGGATAACGCTATGGGATTTGTCGTGTTTGACTGTTATGAAATTTATTTAGCAGTTGTGAATAATCATGATAGGAATTTTTTGTTTCTGGTGATTAGATGACCAGAGTTTCAAGAGACTCTACACTTGATGTGAGGCCATTAGGAATATTGTATTGCTACTCCCCTCCCTCCCCTCCCCTTATGAATGGGATGCCAGTCCATAGCATGGCTACTTCTTGGTTTTCATAATATTACAGTGGTACCCATTGGTCTAAAAAAGCCTAGTAAAAAGTATCAAAGATGGCTAAGTTCACCTGTCATAATGCGCACAGGGTATGACTCAGCTGCTGTGGTCCCCAAGTGACCAGGAACACGCCTGTCACCCAATTGGAAGGTAGTTCTGCGCAGGTTATTGACAGCCTCTCCCCTGTCAAAAACAGATAATTCTTTGATAGTGGGTCGTCTGAAAGATTCCTGTTGGGTTGAGGTGGAGTAGTTGCACTTTTCCTGATCACCTTGGGGAATACTTGATCCCCTATCCTACAATTAAAAATAAATAAATAATAAATAACTGAGATGATGAGAATGGATTTTATACCCCTCTGCTTTGTTAAGGATGTTTCCTCAATAAAACACCATGAGCTTGAAGAAAGAGTTTACTGATGGGATTTGAGATTGAGTTTGACCAGCATCTAATTTTTTCTTACTGACAGTATCAATCCAGAATTAAACATTTAGAACTTGAGAAGAGAGGAAATGATTGCAGACAGAAGCTCTGAATAGTTAAACAGTTATTGCTCTTTGTCAGAAAGAAGAAGAGAGATTCTTCTCCATCCTAACAGTATTTTCCAAACTGAGAAGATCAAATGATAGAAAGGAATTTCACAGAGTTGATTAAAAACTCTTGAACAGATTGTTAATCCAGACCCACCAGAACTTTCCCTGGATCCACCACTGTTGCTATTTACTGTTACTCTTCTAATCAACTCACCCTCAAGGCGGGATTCAAAAGTTGCTGCTTCGGTAGATAACGACCAACAAATTCTGACTTAGTGGTTGTGGTAAATTGCCCCATGTAGTGAGTTCTTGCATCCCCAGTAATAGTAGGTGGTCCTTCGTTTCTGTCAATGGGTGTCAGTGCATCTTTTTTACTGAGCTGTTTCCCTAGGAACTTACTACGGTAGTCTGAGTGTGGCCAAAGCTCCTTCTCTTTATCACCTAGATGAGGTTAGGTAGAGTTAGTAGGGTAATTTAGTAATATCAACTGAGTTGATAATGTAAATTGGTCACCATAATGAGTTTCAAAGCTGTCAGTGAAACTCTTCCTTTCAAAGCTGTGAAACTCTTTACAGTGGCCAATTTATACTATCAAATCAGTTGTTAATACTAATTTACACTGTTATGCTCCCATGGAGATGCAGCAGCACCATAGTTTCTTTAGGAACTTACTCCATTCATTAAGTTGGAGTTAGGTCTACTCTTAAGCCTTAATGATTCAAATGAGAAGAGCTATCCTGGTTTCTGCAGCATGAGCATTGAGCATTTCTTCTACCTCTAGACAGCATGTATGTCTGTCCCAGGT